TCCACATCCTCCCTATGACACTTGGGTGTGAGGAGTTAGTAGTGAAGTTGAGCTTGGGAAGAAACATATGAGGAGTCAAGGACAATTCCCTCTGCTGTCCCACAGTGCCCCAGTACGTCCCAGTGACCTCCAGGTAGGGCATGACTCCTTCACCACTGATCTCTCAGCCTGAGCGTCCAACTGGTTTTTTACCCATTTCTTTGTTAACCCACCCAGACTGTAGTGGCCTAACCTGGGAAAAAGGACATTGAGGGAGACCACGTTAGAAGCGTCAAAAATGGCGTCCACTGTTCTTCACTCATGCACAAATGCTGATACTTCAGCGTGACGGTAATCAGATTTGAGAGGCATGGTTGACCCATCATAAATCCATGCTGACTTGTTTAGGAGACGTTCTTATTTCTTAGGTGCACAGAAATGCCAAAGTGACCTTGTACAGCCTGGGGTTCCCTGGGTTGACTTTCTGACTTCTTTCAACAGCAGGCGCGACATTGGCTTGTCCTCACTCGCAAGAACCCTCTACCAACGCCATGAAGTTTTGAAAGGGATATTCCAAAGAAGGGTTGATCTCTCCCTAAAACTTCATTAACACTATTCTGCCTGTTAAATGGTGTATTGAATTTCTTGAAACTTTCATAGATTTTCACCTGTCTTGACTATTTCAAAAGTAATTTTTTAAAGATGCAGGCTGCCTAGACAAAGGCCCTTTCCACTGTTCTCCAGTTTTCTCCTCCCTTTACTCTTTGTTCATTCGGACTCCTGTCACCTACCAAGTTGCTGTTTTGACATCAGGGAGTTAAAGGATTGCCTGCCTTTCAGTAGTTTGTCTCCTTAGCCAACTCAGTAATTGTGTTTATAACTATTTTTTTTTCTCTACCTAGCTACAATATTTCCCATAAGATTATGCCTTATAGGAAGGCAACCTCATTAGACGTAGACTGTAATTATCATATGTTTACAGAATGTGTCTTGTTCATGGAACTTGATTATGCTTTAATTTTTCTTTTCTTGCAAATAGCAAAGCTTCTGCTGTGCCTGTGTGCAGCCAGCTCTCTAAGGAGAGTAGGTGGGAGATGGTGCAATGGAGCTGTGACATCCAGCTGCAGAGATCAGTGGAGGAGTCTGATGCAGGAACAGTGACACAAGTCCCAGGTGGCCGGTGAGAGAAACGTTGAGGAGTAAAGTTGTCCATACAGTGTCAGACCTCAAGGGACTGCTTTTCCTACCTCTCCAGACCTCCTGAAGAGACACCCTGGATCAGTATCACTTTGAGAATGATTCTACCACTTCTTCTGTAAGCTGAAAAGCAACTAAAAATATCCCCTAAAATGAACAAATATTTTTGTTAGGCACAGTATGACATCCTCCTCCTTGTCTACTCTATGAAAAAACTCCAATTAGCTGTACAAGTCTTGAAGGCATGAACAAAATTACGTGAGCTTGTTAGCTTGGCACTTTCTGTATTTTAATGAGCCCCATGGGGAACTTGGTGTTCAGTCCATGAACCTCAGATACTGGGAGGAGATCGAACAAAATGCTCGCGAAGGCAGAAGAAAAACTGAAAGTACCTGGAAGCATTGATTGGCCCCACTGAGGGCCGTTACTGACAAAGCCTCCCCAGGGACTCCTCAGAGCAGAGAATTGGAGGCCAGGACTGCAGGTAGGCAAAGGCACTGAGCAGGTGGCTGCAATGCTGATCAAACCCTTGGTTTGTTTGATGAAGCAGCAAGGACAAGGCCTCAGCCCCAGGCCTTGGGAAGGCAGATCCTGTTTCTCACCTGTGGCTCAGGGCTCTTGTTGGGGGCAGCTGGATGTGAGGGTGAGCAACGACAAGTGTAAATTCTATGATACCTCCCAGCCTCCCTAAGAAGAGATGAGGATGAAACAAAGTCCAGAGCCTCAAAGGCAAGTTTCTCCTGGTAGGCATCAGTGTTAGAGGCAACTGCCATAGCCAAGGGAACAAAGCCCTTGGTCCTGTTGAAGCTTTCAGCTCTGCCAGAGTCCTTAGTCATCTGTACTGCAGGCTGTCCTAAACTGTCCCATACCTGCTCTTCTTTCTCTTCAGCCTGTAGTCACACATCTTTACTTCCTACCAGCGCTCACCCCAGCATTTCCATAACTTCACTGATGTCTGTCCATGCTCGCTGGCTTTTCCTTGAAATTCAAATCCATGTGCTGATCCAGAGTTCCTCTGGGTGACCTCTTACAAAACAAGGATACCCTTTGAGGGAGACTTCGTTGTCTTCACCTCTAGTCTGAACCTTCCAAGCAGCATTTTGTGAAGGTTTCCTTGCCTTCACACTACCAGGAAAAGCTCCATCATCTCTGAAACAATCCTTCAGGCAGATGCAGGCTACTACTTCAGTGCCCTCAGCTTCCACAAGACTAAAGAAGCCCAGGTCCCTCAGCCTCTCCACAGAAGCTGTAAAAACCATCCTGGCAGATCTCCTCTAGAACCTTTCTGGTTCCTCCCCATTCTTCCAGAATGAGGAGCCCCACATGCAGTCACACTAGTTCAGATGTGGCTACACCAGTGCTGAGTCAAGGGGGCTGAGCACTGTCTTGTCTGTGTGGCCATGCTCCTCCTAATGCA